CAAGCGGTTAATAAGTATGAAAGAATATGAGAAAAAAAATACCTCAGTTGGAACACATCCATTGCTGAAGATACTGGAATAATGGTCTGCTCATTCTATCACTGAAGGAAGTACCTGACTCATTCCGTCATTCATTGTTTTGTTTTGTTTTTTACAAGTGTCAGATTAGACCAAAATCGTAGTATTGATATCATAACTGCGCTGAAGTCGTTCAGACCTCATTTTCCAGTCTGAACGGAAAACCGTTTACACAGTTTGGTGGAGCGGGATTGAAGACACTCTCTACCCTGCGGCCTCTTCCCCAAAAAACTCAACGTTGCAAGCCTATTACTACCTGATCGCTATTTCCATTGCAAATGGCGGGCTCCATTATTTAGTTCGACCAATTCAAACCATTATAGATCGGCCATCCCTTGTTAATTAAATTCATCAAAGTTGAATCACGCCCATTTTCGCCGTTTTCCAAATGTAAGGATAAATTTCCATTTGACTTTTTTCCCCTAGAACTTACTACTGTGTAGAACAGACTTATGCGTGGATGCTTCTTTGAACACTACAAAATTTTCATGAAAGCCACTTTAACAGAAACCCTCTATCTTGAGTGGCTCTTGTGTCTTGTATTGGGTGGACTTTAGTATATGAAAAATAAGATTACAAGTTTTAATGGTTTGCCAAGTACTGTTTTAATGGCTCTAGATAACAACGTCAGGAATGGTTGCTTTCACCATTGGCGTTGATCACTGCTTGACATCCCTGCTTCATACTCTTCGCCAATCACAGGATATTGTTTTGTTGGATTACATTCAACTCATCAGTCACGGAAATGGGTACTTCTCGAAAGTCACGTGGCTGAAAATCCCGAACATAAAAGCGTCATTTCTAGACGTTATATATTGAAGCGTTCCTCGACATTTTGCAGAGATTTTTATAAAAAAAAAATGTATCTTCCTCTTTTATGTATTGTGCCTCTTCAGTACCTAAGTGATTATGAATCTCTACGTCTTCCTATCTTTTGTAGCTTTGCGCAATGTTTGTCCCTTTACCATCCCTCCCAGACTGTTCTGCCATCCATTTACACAAGCTCGGTAGGTACATTACTTAAGGTCTCCCTCTGTCGATACACAGGTGGTATAAGTCAAATTTCGAATTCCAGTCAGTTCGTAACATTCACATAGGCTGTTCTTAAAGAAATATTGTTAACGTAATATTCACTCCCAAAAAAAATAAAATTATTCTTGAAATCCAAAATATGTTTCGGCTTTGAATAACACACAAAGGGTTGATAAAGCATAAAAAATATAGAACAATTTAACTTTTATTATATCCTGTGAGTGTCAAGTTCTATTCCTCATTGTGTGTCCTGGATGTTTTAACTGTCTCTTTCTGAGATTCTTTCGAAGCGACCTTTTTCTTTCCCTTTCCCTTAAAGCTACCTATTTGTTTACATGTTCCAGCCATGGTATTCACAGTATCTTCCTGTAGAACCACATCTCTGTTGCCTCGGGTTTCCTCTTCATCTGTGAGGAAATTGCAAAACATGCATAGTTCAAAACTTTCCATTATCTGTCTATATTTCTGAAATGAGGTATTATGTACACTATTTACGTTATTCGGACTATTGTCCTCATCTTTGTTGCCATATTGTTGTGGAGTGATTTCACAGTGGAGGCTTGTATTTGTACTAAGTCGGTCCTAAAATAGGTTCGACGTACAAAACGTTAGGAACTTGATATAATAGGTATTACGCAGAGTAATCTAGGTGTGGTCGCTGATACTTTAGTATTCGACTAACTGTCGTCCGACATCGACTGACTGACCAACGATAATTATTACTGTATTTACAGCAAATGTGGCACAAGGCCAAAGTGGGGTTGAGGAAAAGGACGGTCATCATTTGTCTTAATTTTAAACTTAGCTAGCCACAACCACTGACCCAAACATACAAAACAATAATCCTACCACCAAAACACCACATTCATAAGTACCTTTCTTACTAAAACCACCAAAATACCTCATTGTCTCAATGATAATCCTAATTAACCCCATATGTACAAATAATGTCTGTGGGGGGGGATAAAAGTAAAATAACCCCAATGAATATATACAATATGACTTAAAATTATTTACATGAAACTAAACAAAATCATGTTAGTAATAAACCGCCCCACAAACCCTAAATGTGACAGTAAAATCAATTAACTGGACGAAATCGACAGGAGACTTTAAAAAAAATATAGAAAAACATTCATCCCTCCCAAACACTCACACGAACACGCACTGAAACACACCCTCGAAACGAAAAGCGTCCCGCATCCACTAGAGAACTAAAAACACTGACCACCTAACGAGGGATGGGATGGGGAATTAAACTAAACGAAAAAAAAAGGGGGACAGAAAAGGGGGGGCAATGAGCAAACATACCCTAGCTAAGTTTACAGAAAGAGTAAAGAAAAACTAAAAATTCAAAACCAAAAACCCTACTCTAGCCTAAAACCAGGGATGGGTTGCCCAAGTTCAACCCAGGAAAACAATATCCTGATGCCTAACCGGCATCAAAATGCCACTCAAGGTCAGCCCCTTTTACTCGGCACATACGCACAAGATTCACCCACCTTTTGCCAAATTCTGATGAGGTGAGCCGCCGCCTTTCCGTCCTAATCCAGAAACCGATGGTCAACCCTATCGAAGGCCTTGGACTGATCTAAATTGATCAGCGCGGCTTCACTGTCGACTTGTTCTAAGATCAAGCGTACCATATGAAGGTTATCCTGAGTAGTCCTGCCCATCACAGCACGTCTATTCAGGGCCAATCTGACTAGACAGGACAAGCTGCAAACGGCTGGCTAAGATCTTCGCCAAAATCAGTGTTTAACATGGTTAAAGGGCGAAAATTCCCTAACCCATCCCCACCGTTCTTGTCCTTACGCAGCAACTTGATCACATCCCTGGTGAAGCGTTGAGGTATAGACCCCTGCTTCATCCAGTGGTTGAAAATCAGTTCCAGCAAAGGAACAAAAACGGGCGACTGCCTCAAGTAAACTTCGTAGGGAAGACCATCTAGTCCCGGAGATTTATCCAGGACAACCTGCTTCAGCGCTTCCCAGATTTCCGACTCTGTAATAGGACCCTCGCACCTACCCACTTCAGCTGCCTTGAGGCAGGGAAAGTCAGCTAAATAGGCGTTGAACTGAGCAGAGCTCAGACCGGGCTCCCTGGTGAAAAGATCCTGAAAGTAATCTCGAAAGGCCTCGCATATGCCCGCGTTTGTAGTCACGGTCCGCTTATCCGGCAATGTGACGCACGCTATATGTCGCCTAGACGCGTTCCGATTCTCCTCTGCACGCAATTCAGCGGCCATGTTCGTCGCCTCAGAAGAGCTTGATCCTTCTTGATAAGCAAGGAGGACAACTCTGCCTTAGCTAAGGCTATTTCCCCACTAACACGGGATCTCACGGCCCGATCAACTTTTTCTTCTAAAGCTGTTTGCGCCGCTAATCTATCTAGATTGAGTCGACGACTAAAATCGGCAGCAAACGTTCTAATTTTGGAATTTAATTTATCCCACCAGGCGTTCCCCACAACCGCCCCCGTCAATTCCCTCTGAATCATTAGTAGCAGCTGGTCACGGAAACCCTGCTCACCAAATAATGAACAGTTAAATTTCCAGTAACCAGCCATTCTAACCTTAGGCTTATCTAAGTTTACACGGACCCGGACAAGCCTATGATCCGTATAAACTATATAGTGGAAACTTGGACATCCTAAGAGCCCTACATCGACTCTCTTAACTAAGACTCGGTCCAGGTAGCTAGCAAGCGTCCCAGGAGCCGAGTTGCTACTATTTGTCCAAGTCCATGCTACCTCCCGAGGGTGCTCATTCCGGAACTTATCGACAAGATCAAACCCGCCGATAAAGTCCCGAAATGCCTTCACATCAGGATTGTTAGTACCCGGATTTTGCCTTATACAATCTATATCGGGGTCAAGGACGGCATTCCAAACCCCCGCTAAAACTACTCGACGAGAAGTCATCAAAAACGGCTCGATCTGCCGAAACAAAGCAGGCCGCTCAGCATGGTTATTGGGCGCATAAACCCCAATGAGACGCAAAGCCTTATCCTTTATGGTAGCATCCAGCACACAAAGCCTGCCCGCCGGATCTGCGAAGACAAGGGTACATGCAGCTTTCAAAGATCTGCTCACTAGTCAAGAGACACCTCTCGAACGACCATCAAAACATGCTGAATAAAGGGCGAACCCCCTAGACAGTATATCCTCACGGTCATGAGAAGAAATCCGGGTCTCTTGCACACAACAAACATTCACCCCGAGGCGCTGAAGGCCCCGCACATTTAAAGTAGCTAACCAGAGCGCCATCGAGAAGTCCGATTAGGGTTGTTTACCGGAATTGAACATGGCCGGGGTAAGGATACCGACAGCCTCTCCCATAGACACATGGCCCATTTCAGTTTTGATGGTACCGTCTTTTTTTGTAGATCTTCGATGGTCTGAATAGAGGCCAGGGCATCGCCCTTACTGTTGTCAGAGGGAGTGGGGCTGTATGTGTCTTTAGTCCCGGGGCTTCAGGGGACTGAGGTCCCGCTGTCTGACGCTTCCTTCTGGCCCTGCTTGACTCACAACTCTTTGTGTCCTGTCATGGATCTAACCAACGCCTTTATCCACTGTGCCATGTGTCCTTAAGGCGTTGGTTAGATCTAGTGACAGTGTGAGTTCTATACCCGGTTAAGGCAGTGGAGAACTTGGAGAGGTGAATTAACAAGAGATAACTGATAACTGATATCCATTAGACATGGCACATGGAACTAGAACAGTCTGCCCAATCAAGCGAAATAAAGGGTTCAGTTCGACATTCCTCCCACCTGAAGAAGGCCGGGGCGTACAACGGCCGAAACGTTGTGATATATATGGCAACAAAGATGAGGTCAATAGTCCGAATAATGTAAATAGTGTATTTTTTATATTCTGTCTTTATACGAAAGCGCGTTCCCGAGTTCGCTTAGTCTGTCCGACTTTGTGACTTGCGGTCCGCCCGTCCTTGGGGGCCACTTGAGTTCACTTTCTTGTTTGTCTAACTTTGTGAAATTCTATTTCACCGTCACGTGTGTCCTCAGTCCGCGATGCGCGCAACTGGCTTACCGCCGACCGTCTCCGGACGGGCGCGCCGAAGCACGTACCAGAGTTCACTTGGTCTGTCTGACTTTTGACTTGCCGTCCGCCCGTACGTGGGACCACTGGGTTTGTCCTTTCTTCTACATTGTCGTGGAATTCATGCAGGTTTTTTTTCCTATCTGCCATCAACACAGTCTCATCTACGTATCTTATATTGTTCTGATTATGTTCATGTATTTTATACCGAAATATATGTACTAGTATCGCAATGGTTATTTTTTAAATAATATATTCGCGCGTTTAGTGACAAACCAATTGTGAGTTCAATCCCCTGGGTGGGAAGAGGGAAAACGGGGAGAACAATAACTAAGCAGTACTTAAAATAAGAACTAGAAATATCCCTAAACACGGGCTTTGAAACGAGAAAAATCTACACCCACAGATGAAAAATGGGTTCAGTTCGAAATTCCTTGTAGATTAGCCGGATTGACATACATCTGATGAAGGCCGAGGGGATAACGGTCGAAAGGTTGTGATAACGACAACAAAGACGAAGACAATAGACCGCACGTATTTGCTACTGATACTGATGCTTTACTCGGAAATTCTCTTCTAATTTCGATTCTTCATGGTTTCAGCTATTATCTCAAAACTATATCTACAAAAGGCTTGCGAACTTGCTGGTATCTCTGCAACTATTCTAGCAAAATATGCTCGTGAACTGGCTCCTGTTCTCTCCAAACTGTACAACAAAAACACCCTGATGCTTCTCGTTTTCTATCTTGCTTGTTATCCTCTTCTGTAATTCATGGTAAACCTTCTGTGCCATCGAATTTTTTAATTTGTTCTTCAGCAACAACGGATTGTCGCGGAAAACTGTTTTTCAATCTTTACTCTTCATTTTCCTTTCTTCTTTGTATTCGTTTTCTTGTTGACTGGCTCTTTGAATTTACCTCCACCTTTAAATGATCAGTTATTTCCCCTTTCTCACGCACTCTTTATTTTTCTACATTCTAAAAGATATTTTTTACACGGTTTCTTCATTTCTAAATCCCCGTTTATATTTTCTCTTTCTACATCGATCTTTAACTTTTCAAGAAACCCTCTTTCCATTACTTTCTCTCTCTCTCTCTCTCTCTCTCTCTCTCTCTCTCTCTCTCTCTCTCTCTTTCTCTATTTCAATTACATATAGCCTATCTTTTCTTTCCCCTCTACTTTTGTATATTTTCTTTACTTTTATCACTCAATTTTCCTTCCTCTTCCATATCTGCCTTCTTCCTTCTCACTTTTCCAAAACTGTCGAATATTCGGCGAGTTTGTTATAAATTAATCATTTTCATAATTCAATGTCAAGTCACTTTTGAATATATTTGAAATGGGAAAAAAATTCGTTGCAAACTTCGAAACAAAATTAAGCACAACTGCCGCTATTGATATTATCATTAATTCTGATTCGTATTTGCTTTCATTGTAATTTTAAATTAATTTCTCCCGCACCTTCGCTCAGGCTGTCGATCTCCGGCAGTGAGTAGACATTTCAGGATAAGCTAAAGATTTGATTCAAATTTAGTCCTTTTGACAAAAATCTATTTATAATTCTGCATGTTCCTTAGTTCTTTAGTTAATTAGGTAGTTGATTAGTCAGTTAATTAGTTAGCTAACACGTACGTTACGTCCTACCAAATAACGGACTATTCCGATTTGATCGCGAGTAAATCCGGAAAAGCTATGTCAGATACGTTTGGTTTCAGTGAAAGAAAAATAAAGAAAGCAAGAAAGATAAGATAGAGAAGCCGCTGACGCTTTCGTGTGTTTGACGTCTGCTTCAGTGAAATGGAAAAACTTGAAATCTTAAATGTTTTCATTTGTACCCTCTTCTTTAAATAATGTCCTTTATTCACACTTATGATTGTTAGAACAATATTTTGTTAAAGCTGTTAAGCTCTAATATTTCACCATGCAATAAGGGAATTTCCTCTGGTATTTTATAGTCATAGAATTCACCATGAGTTTATTCAATTATTAACTTCATGAATCTTAATTCTTAAGTTAATAATTGAATCTATTCAGACTATTGAATACCCATTAATTCACCTTTATCTTATTAAAGATTTGTTTGTTTTTAATCATAAATCACTGAAATTATTAAGAATACTACTAATAATATTTATTATACAGGAAGAAACTCTTTACGCACATCTTTCGTTCAGTTTGTCACGATCGCTGCAGATGACCTGTTCCTGGTGCTGAAGGCAACAAATTAACCTTTTCTTCATTCACAAACAATGATTACAGATACAACCTCCGTTTCCCTTTGTTATTCTTTATTTTTATTTTTATTTTTATTTTTTTTTTTTTTTGTATGGGGATAACTGTATATAAAAATACTATAACTCTTTTCTGTACGGAATAATAAGATATCCAAACGAGAAAGTCTGGTCTTGCTCGCTTATGCCAATGTAACTGTAAAGATGGTCTACGTTCACATGGTAAAAGTAGGACTTTTACAACAAGTTGATCGTGCAAAGTATAAACGTGGGTCTAATGATTTCAAAGAGATTGAACTTAATGTAATATCTTAAAAATACATATAAATGTTGAATATTAAAGGAGAAAAGAGAGATAACCGTAATTTATATTTTCCCTCTCTCTCTCTCTCTCTCTCTCTCTCTCTCTCTCTCTCTCTCTCTCTCTCTAAATTTTTCTTATTCAATAATTCAAAAAAACCTCCAGTTGAACTCAAGAGTTTCGCGTTGAAATGCACATCAGGGCCAGATATTTGAAAACACGTTATATTTTCACTTATTTTTTCCAGTTGTTTTCTAATAATAATAACTATTATTATTGATATTTTTTCAAAGACTTTGACTGTACTGTAACTCCCCTTCGTTCAACTTTTCAGTCTACGAGCGTTCCTGTAAAAGTAATGTCTCCTATTTTATCATGTTTGTCCATTACTGCAAAGGAGGATATTGGTCATAGACCTACAGACGTTGAACCTTACCGTTATCTTTCTTTATGAATCATAAAAAAAACTGAGTGGCAGGCTGGTAAAATGTCCTCTGACATGAAAGTGCGTCCGAAATAGTGGTCTGTCATTGAATTCGTCTATTTAGAAAAAAGAATTGCACATCGTAACTCCGCTTACTGAAAGTTCACAGAAACCAAGCGAAGATGTAAGCACACTTAGGTGGTGAGTACTTCGTTTCAGCATTGGCGGCAGAGAAGTGTGTGTCAAGACATATTCCGGGCGGCTTTGTATAGTTGTCAAGACAGGAAATTTTCATCGCTGGCAAAGATTCATAAATTATGGTGTTGACTATGTAAAAAATAGTGTCTGTCTATATTTCTGAGATGAGGTATTATGTACAGTATTTACATTAGTCGGACTATTGTCCTCATCTTTGTCGCCATATTTGTCACAACGTTTCGGCCGTTGTACGCTCCGGCTTTCTTCAGGTGGTTGGAATTCCGAACTGAAATTCTTTATCCACTGTGCCATGTGTCCTCAAGGACACATGGCACAGTGGATAAAGGCGTTGGTTAGATCCAGTGACAGACCCATCATCCATCAAACATGGCACGTGGAACTAGAACAGTCTACCCCAGTGATCGAAATAAAGGGTTCAGTTCGAAATTCCAACCACCTGAAGAAGGCCGGAGCGTACAACGGCCGAAACGTTGTGACAAATATGGCGACAAAGATGAGGACAATAGTCCGACTAATGTAAATACTGTAAAAAATAGTATAGGCGATGTTTTGTTCTATTGAACGGTGATATTCCCTGTATCTGTCGGACTTTCATACAAATAAATACTTTCAGAAATTCCCTCGTACTTTACATGTTTGCAAGCATGATTAACGGGACTACTTTTACTGTATAATTCTTTTTTCTTACTTATGCTTATTCGTGAATCTTTATTGATAATGGTTGTTTAACATTAATGGGTTTTTTTTCTGTACAAAAATATGTTTTATTGACCTTACTTATTTCAATAAGAATTGATAAACCTCCAGCCTCGTCATAAGTAGAAACTCTTGGAAGTTGTTTTTATAGTTGTCATAGATTCTTTACAGAGAACTCAAAAATATATCCACTTAATGTCATCAATATTTCACTTATATAGCAAATCTGTAAAATCCTTGGTTCTGAGGAGAACTATATCTGCACCGTGAAAAACTATTATATTGCACAATTAAGCGAACAGTCTTCATGTTGCATTACGTGTCATATTTGGCTTCTTGTCGTCTATAGACAATTCTTCAGACGACAATGCCACATCCCAGACTGAATGAACAACAGACAATTTTCTTAACTTTTTCTCTCCATTTCTTTTAGTGGGAAGCCACAGTAGTCGTAGACATCGTTTTTAAGAAGCAAAAGTGAGATAGAGACAATGAATGTCAATGTGGTGGCTCGTCTCACGTTGAAATCTGGGAGAGCTGAGGTATCTTAACACTTCTATTCTAGCAAACTTACTAACTGTCGTCGCGTGTTTGTCGGTCCTGTATTAAAACTATAAACAAAAACAAGCCATCACTTTCAGAATTCTATGCTCACAGTATTTCAAACCACAGTTCGAGAAGTCAGAGTTCTGATCAGTACGGTAGGATTTGCCAGATTATACATTCTCTAACTTTCGCAAGGTAACATTGTTTATCTCCCAATCTTGAAATGTGCGTGTAATTTTTTTTTTTTTTTTGGTGATAATATATCTTTGAAAAACGTAGATGACCTCCGACCGGTGTCTGCATCTACAACAATTCCCCGACGTAGCGCGGAGCTTGCTTTTTATTATTTGTCATGTTTATTTGTCATGTTTAAAATAGAGATAGTTATACAATGAATACTAATTCAATTGCCATTTCCAGTCCCATATCCACAACGTTGATTGAATGTTCACAGGTTTCTTTGAAAATGGTCCGAATTCATCTGACAGACGAAAGAGCAATCATTTTGCTATCGGATCAATTTGTTGTTAGCATGAGAGAAATAATTTGGATTTTCAAACCTATGAATTTTTAAATAAGAGAAATCTTCGCGGCGTGTAACTCAGATTTCATCACCCTCCTATGAAAGCTGAAAACCAAGTTTCAAATAAAAAAAAAGATATGTTTTCTATACATCCTAATGTATTTAATTTAACGATGTTGTTGCAATAATAAGATTGAGTCGGTGATATTTAATATCACTCACTGACTAAAAAAAATTGCATCGAGCCAGGTCGAAATCTTTTCACGTATTTGGTTATACAGAAGGATGCTGAGAATTCCATGGACCGAATATGTGATCAACGATTAACCTTTAGAGAAAATGGAAACAAAAAGGTCATTTATACTTTACATTAGTTTATATTTTATGGCATATAATAAGGAAAGAAGGCTTGGAAAATTTGATACTCACAAGACAAATAGACGGAAAGAGAGACAGAGAAAAACAACGTATAAGCGAGCTCGGGTAAATGGAGGGGGGCAAAGCAAAGTCTAGGAGAGATAACAGAAAGACAAAATTTATTAAGAGCTACAAAGGGCATGAAATTGTTGAGAGCTCTGATCGACAAGGTCCCGAAGGGACACGGCACAAAGAAGAATGAGATTTGAAAGGCTTATAGGAACCTCTCGCTACCTATTAGCATATATTACACTATTATGGAATTAGGCTGAACGATTTCATGATCTGCACCGATAACCGTTAGGTGTCTTACACATACGACTGACCAACTTCAATCAGTTATGTGCCATGCGTGGTACACGCTTAGGCGATCATGTATCTTTCGATACATGACTGACGAGGCATATTTTTTTCCCACAGTAGATTGCCATTTCTTTCTGCAGTAGACTAGCTGCCATCCAAGGCTATAGAACCCGGTCTGTCCTGCTATTTACCTATATATGGGGGTGGGGAAGAAGAAGAGATTCATACCTTTCGCAAGAGTATTAGCACGTAAGTGAGTGGATTTCGAACTCGGCTCTCCGATTCCGCAATTCTAGTCGCTATCTATTACTCCACCGTACCTCCTCCAACTTACTAGGACATAAATCGAAATCGTCTATGCAGACGTACTGGGGACAATTTACTTTGCACTTTACAACCTTTTCCCCACAGAATGAGAGTTACAAGCTTCTCGTTAAACGAGCGCTATTTTACATGACAGGTGTTCAGATGAGCTTCATTCTTTAGTTTCACTTGT